TGTATATTTAAATACTATTTATCATCTGCCCTTAGTTACTCCAAAATCATTTTTGGTGTACTGACTCCTTACAAGTCTTGCGAGGAGATAAATTCAAAAGCTTTTGTGAGATACTTTTTGGAACAAATTTTCTAATTTGAAAATACTTTTATAACCTTTTAAAAACTGAAATATGTTTCATTAGCTTAAATAGTTTATACTGCAAGAGAAGTTTGAGCAGTGTAGTAACATGCCAAAGAGAAAATGGGATAGGTTTAGTTGCCTTCTTATAATTTAAAGCTTACTATATCCTTGTCTGGCATCAGTGTGGTTAAAAAAAGTAGTTTTGAAATGCGTGTACGTGTTAACCACACCTTGGCCCTGCAGTGCACAAGTTCACCCACCGAGGCCTGCCATGCCAGACTCTGCTTCGGAGAGATCGGATCAACAGCACTTGAAATCATTTGTGCATTTGTCTAAGTAGGGACTGCAGAACTTGGCCCTGTAAGTTTGAAATTTAAAACCAGTGAGTACTCTGCTAGTGATACTATAAACTCTAGGGAGTGTGTTGGCATGATGTGGCCCTTCAGAGCCTAAGGGTGGCTGCTCTCGCCTGGGTCAGGCTGAAGCTCAGGAAATGACAGTGGCGAGCGCTGACTCACAACTGGGGGCGGTTTGCTGGGGATAGCTGTAGTAGTTCCTGTCCCCAGCTGTCTGCCCTCCCTCTCTTTACTACAGGCATGGCCTGCGCTCCATGAAGCAGTTGTTTAATCACTATAGTTTGCAGTTCATTACATCAAGAAGTAAGTGCACTGAATTCAAGTTTCAGCCATGCAGAGGGAGGAGGTTTGAAATATTTCAGCAGCTGTTTCCCAGGAAGCTGAGCTGCCCATGCAGCAGAGGTCAGGAGTGTAGCTGCTGAATAGGTTCCAAAGTAAGTTTTCCACTGAAAATAAGCACTAGGAGTGTGGAAGTTATGCTCAGCTATGAGGCAGTCACTTGCAAGTACTTCAGACTGTGTTCTTCAGAATCCAGCAGCAACCTTGTAGTGCAAGATAAAGACTTCCCTTTTCACAGGCAAGCAGGACAAGATTTAGTAAAGACAGCAAAATGTAATATGTCTGTTTACTTACAATTGAAGGAATACTGTATTATGCAGGAGTACTGCCTGCTAGATTGTTTCAGAGAAGACACACTATTTTCTGCTCCTGTTCCTCCTGTTTCATTCTTGTTCTCTTCCCTGCCAAAAAGAGGAGAAAAAGTGCATGAGGCTTGACTGTGCTGTGCCTTTGTATCAAGTGGTGAAAATGTTGTTTGATTCTGGAGTCTTCTTTGCAGATTTTTGGGAAATTTTGCTCTTAGTTGGGTGGAACTAGAAGAGAATAATTTTAAGACCCAACTGGGAGAAGTTGACTTAAGGTCACCATCTGTTAGAAGAACAGTTTATCTGTGTTTGTATAGAGACAACTCAGTTGATGGAGGCCTATGGACATGACCATAACACAAATATATAACAGTCTTGTAATGGGCCTTTGCCCAGAGAGGGTTCCAGACAACTTCTATGTGTTCTTATCCCAAAATATATACTGAACTAAACAGAGTGGTTGAGCAATTTTTTTTCCTTGAAGATTTTTCTTTGTGATGTTCCTCTAGCTGAACACTGAGAATCTGGAGAAGTATTTAACAAGTTTTTCACTTAGTGCTAAATACCCTTCAGCAATGATGACCGAGTTGCCATGTAGTATTTTTCACATTAAACCACAAAATGCTTTTGCCAAGACTGTGATTTTGTCCATTTCACAGATGAAAAATCTGAGGCATGTGAGAGAAATGTGATTTTATAAGGGTTGTATGCCAGGTAAGTTGTAGAAGCTGGAACAGAACCCATGCCTCCTGTGTCTCTCTCTGCCTAGGCTCCTCTCCATTAATCTGCTGTGCCTGAAGTACATGCTGATTCCAAACAAGGAGCAAGACATAGCTGAATATCAGCGTAGGAAGTGGTTTCATGATGATCATTCTAGAGTACACATTAAAAAAAGATATTAAATACTGCTTTAAAATGCAACTGTTGTCCAAAAAGGAATGCTGTCAGATTATGATTTTTCATTTGCGTGGGTTGTTTTCCAGGCAGAAATTTTAACGGGCATCCCAGTTGGCAACCTTGAAGATGCTGAAAAGGTGGGACACATGCTGTTAGAAAGAGGGTGTAAGCTCGTAATTGTTACTCTTGGAGCAGAAGGCTGCATGATGATATCAGTAGAAGAACCCATTCCAAAGCACGTTCCTGCTGGGAAGGTCAAGGCTGTGGACACTACGGTACGTTTTTGTGGTTTAACTGTCTTGCTTTGGAAAAGACTGCTTAAGCACTAAGGGAAAGCAGTGAGTAATCAGCCAAATCTTTGGGCACTAGCACAAAGGCTAATTTATGATGTGAAATTGATATCTTGCTTCCAGCCTCTCATATATTAAATGTCAGTTCACTTGAGTTTTATAGTCTGTATTGTAGATGAGCTAGAATTATTATACATAACGATAGTATCTGTGTGTTCCTCCTTTACTGAAGTAAGTACCTGTCTCTGACTGTAATGTGTGATGCCAGTGGCTTGAGCTGCAGTCCTGTTTTTTCACCTTTGCCCAGCCATATAATTCATCTTGTCCAGAACTCAAACACTCTGGGAGAAAGGAGATACTACTCGCAGTCTGAAACTGGATGTTTGGCTCTTCTGACAAAGCATGAATTGCTTACCAAGTCTAGCATAAGGTGATTAAAGACATAATTTTTGCAGAATATTGTGGGAAAAACCCCAAAAAGGTCTTACTGCTTTATGATGACCGGTAAGGAAGGGATACTTGGTCATAGACATGCAGGTACTTTTTTTACTTCCTGCACAGAACTAAGTGCAGGAAATGTACTCTATGAAACCACTAAATACCATATCCCCAGCAAAAAAGTCAAAACAGGACAGGCAATAGTTAAGATAACATTGCTGTGAAAACCTTACCACATTGCACATATGGGGCTATTTTATGTTCCTAGTATTATCTGACATAAATCCAAAATAATTCCAGTGGAGTTACTGAGAGCAGAGCAGGTCATGTTGTATGTACTAACTATACATTTAAATGCCTGTTATAATAACGTCATATTACATATGTTATGTTACAATAGTTCATTAAAATCCTGGAGATTTTACCATCTGGTGCATTCCATATCTGAATTGCATTAATAATAACAACTAGTTCTTGTAGCATTTTTTTTATCCATGGGCCTCATACTGCTTCAAAAAGAAGAAAAGCAACTGCTTAAAAGATGAGGAAACAAAGGCATAGGGGACTGAAATTACCTAGGTCAGTACCATTCAGTGGCAAAGAAAGGAGTAGTCACTTTATCTCAACCAGAAGATCCTCATAGATTTGTACTGTGATATGCTGATACTGTGAAAAACTTTGTTTCACTGTTAAATTTAATCCCTTTCAATTTAACTCTGAAACAGAGATAATTTGGGTTTATTTTACTCTTTCACCCCTTTATCATTTAGAAGTTTGACCTTGGGTTAGTGCTGATTTTGGAATGTCTTAAAGTTCTAATTAAGGAAGGGAGGCATCACTGTACTGTACTGAGTGCAATGTTCTTGGTAGGAGACTGTAGACCCCAAACTGCCTCTGCTTGCTTTTAGTTCAAAATTAAAAGTGCCAAGGGAGTGAAAGGCTGAGCTCCCAAAGCTGTCCAGAGCAGGATTTATTAGCTTGAGAGCAACCCCTTGTGAACCTGGCAGTATGGCTTCTTGCTCAGAGTTGGTAAATCCACTGTTGCTACCAAAGCTTAGTGTTAGAGTTTTTTTCTACATCACACAGAAATGATGAAGAAGAAACATGTGTGATCTGCTGCTTCAAAAGAAGAAAATTGCTGCCAGATCAGCTATTGTTCGATATCATAAGATATTTGCTGCCCTTGGAATAAAACAGCAATACTGAAACCACACACTAGATGAAAACTGCGTTTTATCTTGCCTAGCAGTACAGAGTTTCATGACTGAACTTTTTTTTTTCCTTTTTAAATAAAAGCAATTTCTTTGAGTTTACTAAATCCTTGCCCTGCCTCCTTGTGGCCAGCGGGTTATTGGCTTTCACATAGCAGAGGATTTTCACAGTTAATTTTGTTAATCTACTTAAATACCAGCGGGTTGTTTTCAGTAAAACAGCTGTGCTCAGTTTATTCTTGCAGACTGAATGAAAAAATATGTGTTGGCCTTCCATTATAAAAGCCTTACAGTGCTTAGCCTGATTATCACTTTGCCTGAAAGCAAGTGGTTTTAAAGCAACCCTTACAAACACTAAGTAAAATAATGTCATCCTCCACTAACCTGGAGAGCTCTGTCATGAAAATAAACGCTAAACGTTCTAGTAAGACATGTCTGCAGTGGATCCTTCCCCAGGGTAAGGGTCAAGCTGTAAGGTGGCTTAGCAAATAGCCACCTATCCACAGAGTATTGAGAACTGTTCATGTGTATGCTCTTAGTATGCCCCTTGATAGTGAAAAAAATAGTGCTACCTTAAGCTGCCCTGACTTCAGTATCTTGAGGGACTAGGGTTATGTGCCTCTATCCGTATTGATATTGTTTGGATCTGCAGGGTGTAAAGTTACTGCCAGACTAAGAGTTAAATGATGTGTATACCCCATCACTGAATTTGCAGAAAGTTAGAGTCCTTATGAAAACAGACTGTATTGAAACAATTTGCCGTTTAGAAGATATACATATAAGACATGAAATGAGCTTCAAAGGCCTCTTTCACTGTAGAAATTTCCCCATAGCTGCTACTACTGCCCAGAGTCCTCTCTCCAGCAGTGCAGCTTCAATACTGACTCCTGGTCATTTATGTTGTTCCCAGCACTTTTGAGAATTTTTGACAAGAAAATATTTGGGCAGGTACAGCCATGAAGATTAAGAATTTGAGTTCCTTGTCCCAGTATGTGCGCTCCCCATTTTTCGTGTTCACAGGCTCATGAGAGACTGAGGGTTGATGGACCTAGAGCCTGACTTTTCCTCCTAGCCCTTGAGATGGTTAATGTAAGCATTTATTGGCAGAACACTGGGAAAAGCTGGCTCCATCTCCCGCTCTGTGGTGGAACATAAATCTCCAAGATTGAAAATCTGGCGTTTTTCACCCACACTAAATCAATACTATAAAGGAGGAAAAAAGGCCTGTTGATTCTCTTTTTTAGCACTAATTATCTTAATGTGGGCTTTAGTAATGTATGCAATGCTTCCCAGGACTGTTAGCAGAGCTCTCCATACACAGTGCAAAACATGTAGCGAGCACGAATAGTCGTTCAGAAGGAAGTTTTGCAAGACATGGTATTGTAAAGCTGAAACATCTGCTTCTGCTGTTATAGATAAATAGTGCAACAAGCTTTTCTTCAGAAAATAAACTTTCCCTTCTTTTTACTAGTTTCTGCTAGCTACTTGCTATATGCAAATTTCAAACAGAAAAATATGTGAATTATTGAAAAATCATCCTTGAATTTTCTGTATGACAGAAAGATGTGATTAAGCCCACAAGGCATATCAATTTGTATTTGAAACAGATGACGTACGTAAGAAACATTTGACACATAAAACAGTACTAATATGTAGGTAATATAAGATAGGTGTACATTATAATCTATATTCATTACTTTAAATAGTTGCTTTTAAATCTGCTTGACTACATTAAGTTAAATATATGCATTTACTTTATTTTTGGAAGAAACTATTTCCACTTTAGGTGAAACTAGTACATGAAGCTGCATTAAAATAGCTGTGAAGGATAATTATATAATTCCATTTATATGACACTTCTTCTGTTGGTAGCAGAAGGTTTCACAAACCATTCACAAATTTGAAAAGCATTCCATAGAAAACAATAATATCATATCTGCAGCTTCTGCAGTTGTGTGTGTGTTTGTGTGAAGCAGTTTGCCTGCTGCTGAGGCAGAAGCACAGCTGAGGTGGAACACGGCAGCTGCTCACAAACACAGCTGTGGGACATGACCGAGCACCATCAGGTCAAAACTGTACTTGAGGTGAAGTGGATGATCTGTGTCATGAACCACACAATGATCCTGGATCGTGGCATCTGCTGCTGCAGTCGTCCTGAACGCGCTGCCTTGGCAGTGACACATGCAGTCTGATGGGAGAGAAGGCCACAACATCTTCCGTATCGGAGAACGAAGCTCTGCTCCTTTTGCCCCTTCACTCTTGTTCTCCCCCTCTGCTTCTGACAATCATGCAAAATATAATTTACAGCACTATTTACATCTATTTACATTTACTAATTATATTCCATTGAAACTGCCAAGGAAAATTTGTCAGAAGAATGTAATTACTCAAAGCTGGAATTTGGCCAGCAGTGAGATTAGTTCCCTTCCATTTTGCAAAAAAGCACTATGGGATCGTACAGAGCTGAGCACTTCATGTGACAGCCAGGGACCAAGTCGAGCCACTGAGGGACTGCCAGAGGTATGTGCAGGTGGACTTTGCTAAGCTCTCTGGAGCTCCAGGTTACTCAGGGTCTGGGCTTCAGAGAGTCACCCAGGCCTGGCCAGGGCTTGGTATGTGCAGGTGGACTTTGCTAAGGCATTTGGGCTCTCTGGAGCTCCAGGTTACTCGGGGTCTGGGCTTCAGAGAGTCACCCAGGCCAGGCCTCCTCTGGAGGTGAGGCAATCTGCTGGTCGGTGGCTGTGACGGGCTGGAGCATGTCTGCTGTCTCTGGGACTGCATTCCAGGGCTCAGGGCTTTGCCTTTTGCTGTGGTTGCTCCTTGCAGTTGAAGGTGGGGAGTTCTGTCTGGGATCCACACGTCCAATCAGAGAGTTGGCACGGGCAGAATTTCTCCTGTGCAGGGGCATTAGTGGAAAATGGGGTGGTCTCTGGCTAAGCAAGCCAGAGCTGCCATGCTGTCACCCCTCTATTTCCAGGCTGCAGCATGAAGATCACATTGGGGAGAGAGATAATCTAGAGTTAGTTCTTGTAATCTCTGGTTTGCTCCAGAGCTCATCTTGGATCAAGATGGTGAATATATACCTGTATCAGTTAGGGTGACTTTCTCATTTTTGTCCCATCTGGTCTCCTAAATGCATAGTATAGTTGTTCTGCTTAACATCTCTTCATTAGTTTCTCTTTGACCTCTAGGTTTACACATACTGATGTTGTGTGTGCAAAAGTCCTGCATTAGCACACTCAATAATCAGGAGATCAGACATCTGCATATCTGGCTTAGGCATGGATGTATTTTCTGCAAAGGCAAATGGACACACTTGGGCACACAATATTGAAA